TTGATTAAATTCATGTGATGCCAGTAGAGTAGATGCATCCTAAATATCAACTACAACTCCCATGATCCCAGAACATTGAGCCATGGCAGGTTGCATGGTGCCAAACTACATTCATTCTATAGTGTAAGAACACCCTAATATACTACAAAACCTTGCATCCCATAGCCTTGAGCCATGGTGCAAAAGTGCATTAGTTCTATGGTGTATAGAATCATGGAATCCCAACTCTAGGAATCCTATCCTAGAGTTGGAAGAGAGCCTCTAAGGTCATTCAGTGCCACCCCCTTCTAACAGGCAGGAACACCCAATCCAAGCCCTCCCCACAGATGGCCATCCAGCCTCTGCTTAAAAGTCTCCGGGGAAGGAGACTCTCCACCTCATCACATTGAGAGGGGAAAGCATGGGTGAGTGTCCCTTTAAGAGTAGAGAATCACCCCTCTGATATCCTCAGCAGTCCCGTTTCACCTTCTGCCTCACCATTAGACTCAGACATGGAAACCCAAGAGCTAGCAATACATTTATCTTATATTCATCACAAGGTCAATATTACTTTTTATTCTTAATCAGGAGAAACAACAATGGGTTGTTGTGAGTTTTCCGGGCTGTCTGGCCATGTTCCAGAAGCATTCTCTCCTGATGTTTTGCCTGCATCTATGGCAGGCATCCTCAGAGGTTGTGAGGTCTGCTGGACATTCCACAGATATATTAGCCTCACTTGCCTAGTTTCCAACAGACCTCACAACATCTGAGGATGCCTGCCATAGGTATGGGTGAAACGTCAGGAGAGAATACTTCTGGAACATAGCCAGACAGCCTGGAAAATGCACAACAGCCTTGTGATTCCAGCCATGAAAGCCTTTGACAATACAAGAAACAACAATATCCAAAAGCCAAGAGACCCCTTGCCCTGCCCAAAGCCCCTTACATTAAAAGAGACTGGCACCAGGTTCAAACCACTTCTTTCCGTGGGAGTCTATGGTCTTGCATCAAAGCCCATAGGATACAAGACACAGTGATCCAAGTTAAACCATTGCTGATGGCTGGACAGTGAAACAGGATGGGAAACTTTGATGGTTCCCATCCCACCTGTTTTTCAGTTTTAAAGACGAGAGTTAAGTATGATAAGAGACAGGAGTTTTGAACAGGATGGCTGGCCCATGTTCAGAGTTCCCTCCTTTCAGGACATTTCTGCCTCTTTTCAACCCCTGAACATGTGATGAACACATTTCTCCATGACTGGAAAGAGGCTGGAATGTCTTAAAAGGGGGACATGTCTCAATGTGATGAGGTTGATTGTCAGAGTTCCTTCCTTTCAGGACAATTCTGCCTCTTTTCAACCCTTGAACATGTGATGAGCTCCGTACCTCTCCATGCTTGGAAAGAGGCTGAAATGTCCTCCCAGGGGGAAATGTCTCCATGTGATGAGGTTGATTGCTGGCGTTCCCTCCTATCAGGACACTTCTGCCTCTTTCCAACCATGGAGGGCTCTGCATGATGGCCAGAAGTAGTTTAACTCATGGGATGAGCTCTGTGCCCTTCCATGCTTGGAAAGAAGCTGAAGTGTCCTCCCAGGGGGAAATGTCTCCAAGTGATGAGGTCGATGGCTGGAGTTCCCTCCTTTCAGGACATTTCCACCTCTTTTCAACCCCTGAACATGTGATGAGCTCCGTACTTCTCATGCTTGGAAAGAAGCTGAAGTGTCCTAAAAGGGGGAAATGTCTCCATGTGGTGAGGTCGATGGCTGGAGTTTCCTCCTTTCAGGACTATTCTGCCTCTTTCCAACCATGGAGAGCTATGCATAACAGCCAGAAGTAGTTTAACTCATGGGATGAGCTCCGTGCCTCTCCCTGCTTGGAAAGAAGCTGGTGTGTCTTAAAAGGGGGAAATGTCTCAATGTGATGAGATCAATTGCTGGAGTTCCCTCCTTTCAGGACATTTCTGCCTCTTTTCAACCCTGGAACATGTGATGATCTCTATGTCTCTCCATGCTTGAAAAGAGGCTGAAGTGTCCTTCCAGGGGGAAATGTCTCCATGTGATGAGGTTGATTGCTGGAGTCCCCTCCTATCAGGATACTTCTGCCTCTTTCCATCCATGGAGGTCTATGCATGACGGCCAGAAGTAGTTTGACTCAGGGGATGAGCTCTGTGCCCTTCCATGCTTGGAAAGAAGCTGAAGTGTCCTCCCAGGGGGAAATGTCTCCAAGTGATGAGGTCGATGGCTGGAGTTCCCTCCTTTCAGGACATTTCCACCTCTTTTCAACCCCTGAACATGTGATGAGCTCCGTACTTCTCATGCTTGGAAAGAAGCTGAAGTGTCCTAAAAGGGGGAAATGTCTCCATGTGGTGAGGTCGATGGCTGGAGTTTCCTCCTTTCAGGACTATTCTGCCTCTTTCCAACCATGGAGAGCTATGCATAACAGCCAGAAGTAGTTTAACTCATGGGATGAGCTCCGTGCCTCTCCCTGCTTGGAAAGAAGCTGGTGTGTCTTAAAAGGGGGAAATGTCTCAATGTGATGAGATCAATTGCTGGAGTTCCCTCCTTTCAGGACATTTCTGCCTCTTTTCAACCCTGGAACATGTGATGATCTCTATGTCTCTCCATGCTTGAAAAGAGGCTGAAGTGTCCTTCCAGGGGGAAATGTCTCCATGTGATGAGGTTGATTGCTGGAGTCCCCTCCTATCAGGATACTTCTGCCTCTTTCCATCCATGGAGGTCTATGCATGACGGCCAGAAGTAGTTTGACTCAGGGGATGAGCTCTGTGCCCTTCCATGCTTGGAAAGAAGCTGGTCCTCCCAGGGGGAAATGTCTCCATGTGATGAAGTCAATTGCTGGAGTTTTCTCCTTTCAGGACATTTCCACCTCTTTTCAACCCCTGAACATGTGATGAGCTCCGTGTTTCTCATGCTTGGAAAGAGGCTGAAGTGTCCTCCCAGGAGGAAATGTTTCAATGTGATGAGGTTGATTGCTAGAGTTCCCTCCTTTCAGGACATTTCCACCTCTTTTCAACCCTGGAACATGTGATGAGCTCCATGTCTCTCCATGCTTGGAAAGAAGCTGAAGTGTCCTACAAGTGAGAAATGTCTCAATGTGATGAGGTTGATTGCAGAGTTTCCTCCTTTCAGGACATTTCTACCTCTTTTCAACCCACGAACATGTGATGAGCATGTTTTTCCATGCTTGGAAAGAGGCTGAAGTGTCCTCCCAGGGGGAAATTTCTCCATGTTATGAGGTTGATTGCTGGAGTTCCCTCCTTTCAGGACACTTCTGCCTCTTTCCAACTATGGAGAGCTATGCATAACAGCCAGAAGTAGTTTAACTCATGGGATGAGCTCTGTACCTCTCAATGCTTGGAAAGAGAAATGTCTCAATGTGATGAGGGTGATTGCAGAGTTCCCTCCTTTCAGGACATTTCTGCATCTTATCAACCCCTGAATATGTGATGAGCATGTTTCTCCCTGCTTGGAAAGAGGCTGGAGTGTCTTAAAAGGGGGACATGTCTCCATGTGATGAGGTCGATTGCTGGAGTTCCCTCCTTTCAGGACATTTCCACTTCTTTTCAACCCCTGAACATGTGACGAGCTCTGTGCTTCTCATACTTGGAAAGAGGCTGAAGTGTCCTTCCAGGGAGAAATGTCTCCGTGTGATTAGATTGATTGCTAGTGTCCCCTCCTTCCAGGATACTCCTGTCTCTTTCCAACCATGGAGGGCTATGCATGATGGCCAGAAGTAGTTTAACTCGTGGGATGAGCTCTGTGCCCTTCTATGCTTGGAAAGAAGCTGCTACTTCCTGGCGGATGTCAGGTGGTGCAAACAGTGTAATTTCTCCAGTGGTGTAGGGCGCAGATACCTTGTGATAATGCGGCATGTCTCATTAAGAGCCACATCCACTGTTTTAGCGTGGTGAGATGCAGTAGAGTAGCATAGCGCAAGGGCAGGTGTCTTCACTGTGTCTGGTTGTGATCCCAAGGTTGTGCCAGTCAGCTTTCGTATGATATTGTTTCTAGCACCCACTTTTTGCTTGATATTCAGGCAGTGCTTCTTGTAGGATCAGAGCACGGACTCCCAGGTTTTTGGGTGCTCTGCAATGCTCCAGTGGGATTCCTTCCCAGGTAATAATCCTCAGAGCTCAGGATGCTTGTCTCTTCTTGAGATGAAAAGCACATGTCTGTGTTTTAGATAGATTAGGGATCAGCTGGTTTTCCCTGTAATAGGCAGTAAGAGCACCTAGAGCTTCGGGGAGCTTCTGTTCAACCATCTCAAAGCTCCCTGCTTGAGCAGTAATGGCATGATCATCAGCATAGATGAAACTCTCTGTCCCTTCTGGCAGTGGCTGGTCATTTGTGTAGATGTTGAACATGGATGGAGCAAGCACACTCCCCTGAGGCAGGCCGTTCTTCTGTTTCCGCCATCTGAACTCAACAAAAAAGCTCCTGTTTTGTAGCAGGTTTCCTATGAGGTGGGTGAGGTGGTCGTCCTTTGTGATACTATACATTTTTCTCAGGAAGAGGCAGTGGTTCACAGTATCATAAGCTTCTGACAGGTCTATGAAGACAGCTCCTGTGATCTGCTCCCTTTCAAAGCCATCTTCTATGTGCTGAGTCAGGTTCAGCACTTGTGGTGTGCAACCAGAAGAAGAAGCAACCAGAAGGAAAGAGGATGGAGTGTCCTAATAGGGGGAAATGTCTCAATGTGATGAGGTCGATTGCTGGAGTTCCCTTCTTTCAAGACATTTCTGCCTCTTTCCAACCCTAAAGATGTGATGAGCTCCATGCTTCGCATGCTTGGAAAGAGTCTGAAGTCTCCTACGATGGGGAAATTTCTCAATGTGATAGTCCTACTCTGAGGCACAGATGCATTGCAGGGGAGCATTCGGACTCTCCTGGAAATGCCTCTCCTGCTGGGGCCGCTGGGTGCCAGTGGCGGCCGCTCTGCTGTACCCTGGCTCCGCTGGAGTAAATGCAGGTCAATCCTCCATGTGCAGCCAGGCCGAATCCAATTACTCGGCTGGCGGGAGGGCATTAGCTGGACGCCCACCTGACCAGCCGGGCCCAGAGGGTTAATGCTCAGTTGCCGCCTCCTCCTCCTGCTCCTCCTCCTCTTCCTCCTTCTCCTTCTGTATCACAGCTGTTGCTTGCTTTGCTCCCTCGGCCGCCTTGGGAGGAACTAGAGAGCCTTTCCGCAGTGGTCCAGGTTGGCTCAGCCGAAGGATGGAGTGGCAATCCTGGGCTGAGCCACGGTCGGCCTCACCATGAGGCCTTGGGCTACTTGGTGCCAGAGCTTGGCTTCCTGAGAGGAGGAGATACCTGTCCAGGTGAGACAACGAGGGACCACATCCCCAACTCCCAGGTAACAACCTTATACAGCATGGATCTTGGGAGTTATAGTTTGGGCATTAGCACCTTCTTGTAGCTTTGTGCAACCCCAACTCTTTCCAAATAGCAGCTGTGCACAAAGGGCAACCTGGAGCAATGCATCCTTTCCCAAGCTGTGCTCAAAGAGCAACTGCATGCACCTGTGGCAGAGCATGGATCATGGGAGATGTAGTTTGATTGCGCACCAACAACCCCCTGAAGGTTTTCCCAGCTCTGTGGGGCCACATCTCTTTGCAGGCAGCAATACATCCCTTCCCAAGACAGCGATACATCCTTTCTCAAGCTATGCTCAACATTGTGCACCTTGTGCATGCATTCCAGGAGTTGTAGTTTGGCCCCAGGACTCCCTTGCAGCGTTGTGGAGTCCCAACCCTTTGCAGACATTAATGCATCCCTTCCCAAGTTATGCTCAAAGATCTGATCTGCCTGCATTTAGACCCAAAACGCCGGAGGATGGAGAGTCGATAGACGTAATGTGGCTTAAGCCAAAGCAATGTTGCGGAAGGCATAGCGCTGCCCTTTGCATCCAAAGCCAGGGTGCATTTACACTGCAGAATGAATGCAGTTTGACAGCACTTGAGCTGCCATGGTTTGGTGCTATGGACTCCTGGGAGTTGTAGTTGTTTAGGTGCCAGCACTTTTAGGGAAGAACTTATCAATCTGGAACTCCCAGAATTTCATAGTATTGAGCTATGGCAATTGAAGTGGTGTCAAGTGGTGCTCATTCTACAATGTATGTCAACCCCAAATTACTTAGTTGGACTAGAACTCCCAATCTTTGTGGCCAGGAACCTCAGGTTTTGGATCCAATCAGGACAAGGTTATTTCATTTTGAATCCATGTTTTTGGGCAAAATTCCCCAAAATTATAGAAAGTCAAGAATCTAATTATTCTGAATTGGGGGACTCTGGATAGTCGCTTTCAAGTTTGGTCTAAAACGCGGAGCGGATTAACTGTCCCACTGGTGTGGAAGACATCGACTGCTGTTGTGCCGAATGTAAACCACCTTGAGTCACCTTCGGGCTGAAAAAGGTGGTATATAAATATGGTAATTAATAGTAATAGTAGTAGTAGTAGTAGTAGTAGTAAAAATAATAATAATATAATTATAAGGAGGATCTTGTCCTTAAAACCCATTCCTTTGCTAGACTACAACTCCCCAAATCTTTGAACCAATGCACCAAGGAGTTGGCAGTCATAGAGCTTACTAGAGAAAGGTGGGGTATAAAACAGACAAACAAATAAATGGGTTGTTGTAGGTTTTTTCGGGCTATATGGCCATGTTCTAGAGGCATTCTCTCCTGACGTTTCACCTGCATCTATGGCAAGCATCCTCAGAGGTAGTGAGGTCTGTTGGAACTAGGAAAAGGGGTTTATATATCTGTGGAATGACCAAGGTGTCTGCTGGAGCTAGGTTTGAATGTTTCAACTGACCACCTTGATTAGCATATAATGGTCTGACAGTGCCTGGAGCAATCTTTTGTTGAGAGGTGATTAGATGTTCTTGTATTGTTGAAGGCTTTCATGGCCGGAATCACTGGGTTGTTGTAGGTTTTTCCGGGCTATATGGCCATGTTCTAGAGGCATTTTCTCCTGACGTTTAACCTGCATCTATGGCAAGCATCCTCAGTCTGGTGGAGTCCTTGTTTGTTTCCTCTCTGTTGTTGTGCTGTTGTGATTTTACATTCACCCCTCACTCCAGCAGACAAGAGTCCTTTGTCCCACCCTGGCCATTCCACAGATATATAAACCCATTGTCCTAATTCCAACAGACTCTGAGGAGTCAGGAGAGAATGCCTCTAGACCATGGCCATATAGCCCGAAAAAACCTACCTGATGTTTTGCCTGCATCTATAGCAAGCATCCTCAGAGGTAGTGAGGTCAGGTAAAAGGTAAAGTTTTTCCCCTGACATTAAGTCTAGTCGTGTCTGACTCTGGGGGTTGGTGCTCATCTCCATTTCTAAGCTGAAGAGCTGGCATTGTCTGCAGACACCTCCAAGGTCATGTGGCCAGCATGACTGCATGAAGTATCATTACCTTCCTACCGGAACGGTACCTATTGATGTACTCACATTTGCATGTTTTCAAATTGCTAGGTTGACAGAAGCTGGGGCTAACAGCGGGAGCTCACCCCATTCCCTGGATTTGAACTGCTGACCTTTTGGTTAGCAAGTTCAGCAGCAGAGTGGTTTAACCTGCTGCGCCACTGGGAGCTCAATAATAATAATAATAATAATAATAATAATAATAATAATAATGAGAAAGGTGGGATAAAAATCAAGGAAAGTATTTAACAACAACAACAACAACTTGAGGTTCTCAGGTGGAAATAATTCCACTTTTTAAAATCCCTCTTTCTTTTTTTTTTTACATTAATAGCTTCCTCTTTATCCTGACAGTTTTTTGAAAGTTGGTTGGATTCTTTTCATCTATCTATCTCTCTCTCTATCTCTCTATCTATCTATCTATCTATCTATCTATCTATCTATCTATCTATCTATTTCTCCTACCTACCTACCTACCTACCTACCTATCTGTTTAATCTACCTACCTATCTACCTACCTACCTACCTATCTATCTATCTATCATCTACCTATCTATCTAATCTACCTACCTATCTACCATCTATCTATCTATCTATCTATCTATCTATCTATCTATCTATCTATCTATCTATCTATCTATCTATCTATCAATCAATCTATCAATCTATCATCTATCTATCTATCTATCTATCTATCTATCTATCTATCTATCTATCTATCTATCTATCTATCATCTACCTGTAATCTCTATCTACCTACCTACCTACCTATCTATCTGTTTAATCTACCTACCTATCTACCTACCTATCTATCTATCTATCTATCTATCATCTACTTATCTATCTAATCTACCTACCTATCTACCATCTATCTATCTTCATCTATCTATCTATCTATCTATCTATCTATCGTATCTATCTATCAATCAATCATCTACCTATCTATCTAATCTATCTAATCTATCTATCTATCTACCTACCTACCTACCTACCTACCTACCTACCTATCTGTTTAATCTACCTACCTATCTACCTACCTACCTACCTATCTATCTATCATCTACCTATCTATCTAATCTACCTACCTATCTACCATCTATCTATCTATCTATCTATCTATCTATCTATCTATCTATCTATCTACCTACCTACCTACCTACCTACCTACCTACCTACCTATCTACTAGGCCTGGGTAACAACGGAAAAATTTGTTTCTAAAATCGATTCGTTTTTTGGGGTTTTTTGCGTTTCAATATTTAAAAGAATTCCGAATTTTTTTTAAAAAAAGTTCGATATTTACGAAATTTCGTAAATGGTAAAAAAATTACAAAACAATAACGAAACAATAACGAATCGATTCGTTAATGGCGGACGCGACCGCGCAATACGCTAAAAAACCTCCAAATGGGACAGGGGGAACTTCTGAAGCTTCCCTCTCCCTCTGTTGTTGACTGTTGGTGTGATATTATAATTTTTTTTCACTGATAAAACAAAAAACAACTATAAAACTTGCCCCAGACATGCGGAAATAATAACGAAACGACCTCAAACCAATAACGAAACGAATACATAACGAAATACGAAGCATTTACGAAACGAATTGAAAAATTCGTTTCGTTTTTAAGTTGCTCCAGAATGGTTCGTTATCGCTTCGTTAACAAAAAAAAATAACGAATTTTTAACGAATTACGAATTAACGAAACGAAACCGCCCAGCCCTACTATCTACCATCTATCTATCTATCTATCTATCTATCTATCTATCTATCTATCTATCATCTCTATCTACCTACCTACCTACCTACCTACCTATCCATCTATCTCTGAAAGGCCACTCTTTAGTGTGGTCATTGTTTCTGATTTCATTGTTGTATTTTTATTTATCCATAGACAGTAGTTGCTTTTGCCCTGGAATCTAAATTCTGGACAGAAGGGTAAAGAAAAAAAAAGATTCTAAATTTTAAGCAAATTCAGCTGAACTGGGGCAATTTTACCTGGTTTGGGTGGGTTTTGTTCAAATTCTCCCATTTCCATAACAGGAAAGGTGATCTCTTTAAGTTGATACTTTGGTATCCTTGCAATGGAATTTGGTCTCCATTTGGTCATTTTGATCTCCGTCCTTCCACTTGTTGCAAAGGCATGGGAAAATGATGATGATGATGATGATGATAATAAATAATAATAATAATAATAATAATAATAATAATAATAATAATAATAATGGGCAGTAGGTTAAAGCACTGAGTTGCTGAACTTGCTAACCGAAAGGTTGCAGTTTCAAATCCAGGAAGTGGAATGAGTTCCCACTGTTGTTGTTGTTCATTCGTTCAGTCGTCTCCGACTCTTCGTGACCTCATGGACCAGCCCACGCCAGAGCTCCCTGTCGGCCGTTACCACCCCCAGCTCCCTCAAGGTCAGTCCAGTCACTTCAAGGATGCCATCCATCCATCTTGCCCTTGGTCGGCCCCTCTTCCTTTTGCCTTCCACTTTCCCCAGCATAATTGTCTTCTCTAGGCTTTCCTGTTCCCACTGTTAGCCTGAGCTTTTGCCAACCTAGCAGTTTAAAAACATGCCAGTGTGAGTAGATCAATAGCTCTGGCGGAAAGGTAACAGTGCTCCATGCAGGCATGCTGGCCACATAACCTTGGAGGTGTCTATGGACAACGCCGGCTCTTCGGCTTGGAAATGGAGATGAGCACCAATCCCCAGAGTCGGACACGACTAGACTTAATGTCAGGGGAAAACCTTTACCTAATAATAATAATAATAATATTAATAATAACCTAATAAAATAATAATAATTTATTTACCTAATTATAAATTATTGTAAATTATTATAAATTATAAATTATTATCATAGAATCATAGAATCAACACACATGCAAAACCCAACACAGATGGCCATCCACCTTCTGTTTAAAAGCCTCCA